GACCAGCGTGGAGTACTTCCACGCTACTAGATCCAGGCTAGACAAACCTTCCACGCGTTCCGTTTTAGGATCGTGGAGAGACGTAGGACCACTACCACAACCTACTCTATCACACTTTATAGTCTCCCCGCGGGAAGCCAGATCTACGATCCTTGCCTTTGATGATGATCTCTCTCGTTGATTAGTTTTCATAGCTTTCTAATCTCTCTCATAACTTTCATTCTCCCAAACTCAAAACACTCGAAAGATCTTTACACTAGCTTTTAGCGTAGTGCACATGGATCATCGAATTGGAGGTTCGCCTAGCGATCACGCATGGAGATGGTTCAAAGTAGGCTCAGAACTTGCTTTTCTGGGTTTGCTCTCATTTATCCGAGTAGGGCTTGCCAATACTATTTTCATGTCTCCAGATTGCAATACACGAAAGAAAAAGTTTTGCATTGCTCCCTCCACTTTTTCTCTCTTAAACCTCGCGCATTGCTTTTTCCTTGTGGCCCCTCACTGTCTCACTTGCTAGTCTATCAAGCAATCCTGATCATGCCGACAACAACAAGAAGCAAGCACAAATCCAAGGAAGAGGAAGCTGACAAGCCTCCTGAGGTGGTGGTGAAGACCAAGAGACCGAAATCAAATGGCGTCGCATTGAACGGGGTTCAGAAGAATCAGATTCTCTTGGATATCGAAAAGCACCCAGGCTGCCTCTTTAAAGATCTGAAGCACACTTATCCAGACGTCTATGCCATTGGAGAGCGTCACGAAACTGCGTTTCGCAATCGTTTCCACTATCTGAGAGATCTCAAGAAGACTAAACCAAAAGAGTATTGGGATCAGTACTCGAAGGCGGGTCAGATTGTGCTTGCAGCAGAACCTGTCAACAAGAATCCGGACGAGGAAGAAGCCACAGACTCAGCGGACAAGAACAAACATTCGAAGCTTCAACAAGACAAGGAACAGGAAGCACCACAAGAAGAAGCAGCAGATCAGGACGAGGAGGTAGATCAGTCTACGATTTCAGAGTTGACATCGCCTTCAGTCAAGAGCTCCGGTCCTCTCAAGAAAAGAGCCATCGTCAAGAATCAAACCACTCCAATCAAAAAGCCCACCCCAATCAAAAAGCCCACTCCCAAGATGTCGAATTCGTCCAAGAAATCCACCAAGTTCAGCTCGCCCTCTGCAACCGGCAAGGCTCGCCTATGCCAGTATGATACTTTGACAGAAGCAAAGCAGGCTGCTGATGAAGTGATTGAGGTTGACTTTGATTTCCCCGAGAAGAATGGTGGTCCACTCTTTTGGGTTCAGCAGGTTTCTAGCTGCAAGTCTCCTGATGGTTCTGCATTGATTGACAAGGTCATCATTCGGCTCACGAGCTGCCTTGACTTTTCAGATGCTCACAAGATTAGCGGTACCATTGTCGTCTTTGGTGCTGCTTTTATGTTGACACTTCCTTGGGCAACCAGCTTCTTTCTTGAGCATCACAAGAAAATGTTCAAGAAAGAGCTCAAAAGTTGTGAGATGACAGCAGCAAAGCATTCAACCGCTGCAAATGCCATCATCAAATCTGAGAATCCGGAGCATGGATTCGAGCCTCGTCGCTACAAGAAGCTTCTCTTCGTTTGGCCCAATGACATGATTGTTTCCTCGAAACTAAACGATGGCGAGGCTCCCGTTGCAGACCAGAAGATTGATAAGATCGCGCTGACTATATTCAATGTCAAGAGGACGAAAGTTGGAGAAGGAGCTGATGAGGAAGAGATGCCTCAAACTTTCTGCCCCGGCAAGTTTGAGTTTCGTGTGATCGATGATGAGGCTGAAAGTGAGCTCAAGCGGAAGAAGAAAGCAAAGAAGAAAGGGCAATCACTCAAGGACCTCTTTGCCAACATGAAGTTTACATCAGGAGGTGAGCCCGATTTCGAGGATAATGATTCCTCATCTTCCAAGTCGTCGTCCGCAAGCAATGAGGAGAGTGGTGGCGAAGATGGTGGTGGAGCTATGGATGAGCAGAGCTAGGAATGGTACCTGTGGCAAAGAACGTAAGTATCTGGTGAGTTGGCAGTGCGTGCAGGCTTCCATTGTCTGTGCTCCATCATGAATGGAAGGCATTGGATGCCGAAGTCCTCTATCGTTTGTCGCTCGAAGCTGTCAACTCACCAGATACTTTGTGCCTTGCACTTTTTCATTTGTTTTCGACTTTCCTTCCTTGCTTCAGTTCCATATACCATCAAACAAAGCTTTGCTATTGTTGCTTCCACTATCAGCACTATGACCGTTGTCGGTGGCAACGCTCTTTGTTTGTCACAACTACTAGTTTCATGTAACAGCTTTACTAACATGGACTTATCATTACTCCTTTTTCTATTAGGTGCATCCTCCTCCGAGGAGGAGGAGGAGGAGCAAGAGTGCAATACACGGCTCTTAGCCTTATTCGCGACTCGATCCTAGATAGGGTTTGAGTTCGACTCATGACTGAGTCTTTCGTGAATAGTCATTGAGACAGGGTTCTCATGACCGCTAGTCATACTAGGTCGATGGTGAAACATCGCGCTAGATATTTAGCTGGCGTGGAGAGATTCCACGCTACTAGATAAATGCTAGACGAATCTCCCACGCGTTCCGTTTTTGGATCGTGGAGTGAGTAGGATTGCTACCGCAACCTACTCTATCACACTTTACAGTCTCCTGCGGGAGTTCAGATCTACGATCCTTTGATTGTGGATCTCTCTCGTTGATTAGTTTTCATAGCTTTCTAATCCTCTCATAACTTTCATTCTCTCAAACTCAAAACACTCGAAAGATCTTTACACTAGCTTTTAGCGTAGTGCATTTTGTTAACAAACACAATAGCTTTCAGCTACCCTCAACCTATTCCTCACCATGAAGATTGCCAAAGACGCGTACACCAGCTTCGAGTCTAGCGCGACAAACCAATCCTTCCTCTCATCGACCTCGACGATGAATGCGAAATCGACGATTCTCGCGCTACCACCTACAAACTTCGCACTGTTCCAGCAGATGCTAACAGCGCCAAGTACACCTTCAAGGTCCAAATCATCAATGGATCTGAGACTCCACGTCAAACCATCAAGTGGGCTGGACGTATGGAGAAGGTCTTCGTCGGGCTCGCCATTGCTACGCCTGACGACAAACATAACCTCCTCAAGGAGATGACTTCTAGCTCTGCCAAGAGCAGTTACGAATCTAGCTGTGCAGGCCATCGTGAAATACGTTGGAATGCCTTGCGCCAGATTGCAGTCAACGCGATTCCTCCACGCGACGTACGTGGCGGTGAAGACGAAGCCGCTTTCCAAGCGCGTTTCCAGGCTGCCTGGAACGGAGCAGCTCAGCCTGCTTTGGACGACACTGACATTACGTTTGGCATAAATGCCTGTGTCGAAGCGGTCTGTCCCTACAAGGCTCTTGAAAAGCAGAAACGCTTCATGCGCCGCAAGATGCGTAAGCCTGCTGATATGACTACTCGGGCTTATGTCAACAACCTCAGTCGGATGAATGCCGATGAACTTCCTCGTCTACCACCTTTTGGACCCAACCAAACATTGAACCATGACGAAGTCATTGACATTGTTTGTCATGGAATTCCACGCTCGTGGATGAAGAAGATGGACGAACACGACTTCGATCCTTTCTCAGCTCCTATCGGAGCAACCATTGGGTTCTGCGAACGCATGGAATCCTCCGAAGACTTTGACAAGGGCGGTGATGCCAAGCAAGCTCCTTCGAAGAAGAACAACAGCAAGAAGTACAAGTCTACTCGCAACAACGACCACTCTTCCAAGAACGAAGAAAAGTGGTGCGACTACCACGAGTCCAGCACTCACAACACTGCTGACTGCATGACTCTGAAGAAGCTCAAGGCCAAGTCTCAGTCCTCGTCTGACAACGATAGCAAGCCAGCGTACAACAAGAACAAGACTTGGAAGCGCAAGTCCGACGACGCCAAGTCCTACACCAAGAAGGAACTCTCTGTCCTTATGAAGAAAGTCTCCAACGCTGCGGTCAAGGCTGATCGCAAGAAGAAAAGCGAATGCAACCATGTTGCCAAGCGCAAGTCAGACGACTCCGACAACGAGGACGACTCCTCTGTTGGATCCATCAACATGATGGACAAGAAAATGGCTGCCGTTGACAAGGCGCTTGCCGAATTCGACTTCAATCATTCGGATGGAGAGATCTCCGTCTGAGGATTAGGCCAGGATGATGATTCAACGGAACCATGTTCCGATTTCTCATACCTAAGTGATGAAGATATCTCACTAAATAGTAAACAAGATTTGTTTGCAACTAATGAAGTCTACGGCAAATTAGATAATTGCCTAGCAACTGCTCAACTAGACTCTGACGATCTATTCAGCATCGTTAACTTCGTCCATGGCCAACCAACTCGTCAACGTCGCAAGACAAGAGACCTCAAAACTATCGTCTATGTTAGATTTAACAGACGAGAGAAAGGGAAACAAAAACCCGTTACACTCTGTTGCTTACTGGATACAGGAGCATCCGGAACTTTAATTACTCAAACTCATGCAAAGAGTTTACTCATGAAGAATCATGGCGGCGTCCAAACACTACGGACTGCTTCTGTAAAGGAATTGAAACCCCGCACGAAGTGTAAGGGCACACTCATGATTCCTGAGTTCCACGATAATATAATTATCGAATGGAATTTACACGTCACCAAGAACTTGGGGGCGCATGACATGATCATAGGTCAAGACACTCTCTCCGACGCCCTAAGAATCAAGTTTGATTTCACTACCATGTCAATGGAGTGGAACAGCATATTTTTCCCTGCGAAAGATGGCGATACCGATAGAGAAGAGAACTTCTCTATTCCTGATCCTGCAGCTGTCAGCGACAGTGCAGATAGTCTCAAGAAGATTCTTGATGCAACATACGAACAAACTGACTTAAGGCAGATGTGCCAGAGTCGAAATCGGTTAAATAAGGAAGAGCAAGAACTGCCTCATGCCTTCTCAACCAAGTGCTCCGACCCAGTCGAGGGTACTTTGGGAGAGTTGCAAATGGACGACTACGAAGTAGAACTTCGTCCCGACGCTAAATCCTATTATACTAAGGCTCACCCTACTCCACGTGTCCATACCAACACTCTCAAGACAGAGGTTGAACGTCTCTGCAAGGCAGGAGTACTTAAAAAGATAAACTGTTTCGAGTGGACGGCACCAACTTTTATCATTCCCAAGAAAGATGGATCTGTACGATTCATCTCTGATTTCCGGGAACTGAACAAAAGGATTAAGTGGAAGCCTTATCCTATCCCAAAAGTACAGGACATGCTCCTGAATCTAGATGGATTCAAGTACGCTACTAGTCTAGACCTGAACATGGGACACTATCACATCGAGCTGTCACCTCACTCGAAGCAACTCTGTACCATCGTACTCCCGTGGGGAAGGCACGAGTACCAGAGGCTGCCAATGGGCCTATGTAATAGTCCCGGCATCTTCCAAAAGGAAGATGAAAACACGCATGCATGACTTAGAAAATGTCCGTGCATACATTGATGATCAACTCATCCTAACTGACGACGATCTAGTAGATCACGTTGAATAGTTAGATGAATTTTTCCAAAGACTTCAAGAAGCCGGATTTAAAATCAACACTACCAAAGGCCTTCCTCGAAAGGAAGAACTTGAGTATCTAGGCCATTGGATTACTCGAGAAGGAATCCAACCCTTAACTAAAGGACAATAGATGCGATCCAGCTATCGCTCCTCCTACGAATAGGAAGGAACTTCGTGGATTCATTGGACCAATGAACTACCAACCAGATACATGAATCTGACGATCACATGTACACTTCATTGCTGGACAATGATTGATCCCGTAACCGAATGGTTCGGGATTACCAAGGTCTGCTCCAAGACAGCAGACGAAGTAACCATCGTTCTAAAACAGACGTGGGTTACCCAGTATCCATGACCGGCTGAGGTTGTCATGGACAGAGAACGTGAGTCCCGCGCAGAGGTCGAGAAGACTCTCCGGGATGAACATGGACTTCGTCGCAAGTTCACGCGCGTCAATCGTGACAAGATTCACAACATCCGTTTCGAAGCAAACTGGAAATACATCAAGGAACGTCGCCAACGACTTATCCAGAAAAACAACGATAGGGAGAACGCGACACGTGTCCCTCATCAACACAATGTCAACGATACTATGATGATTCATCAGTATCAGCACCGCAAGTACGGTCAGCCAAAGTACAAAGGTCCTTACCACATAGACCGAGTCAATAACAATGGCACTGTACGGCTCCGACATGCTACCGCCAATAGCGGCACAGTCTACCAGACTTGGAACATAAGGTATTTACACCCATACAAGGCCTGATCCCCTTGTAGGATTGCCATCGTGCGACGCACATGTCTACATCCAATCTCCGGAGAGTGCCCCGCACTTTAATTCATATGTTCTCCTTGTCCGACTGATGTCGTGCCTTCCGTGACCCTTGTCAGGGGGCGAATGCAATACACGGCTCTTAGCCTTATTCGCGACTCGATCCTAGATAGGGTTTGAGTTCGACTCATGACTGAGTCTTTCGTGAATAGTCATTGAGACAGGGTTCTCATGACCGCTAGTCATACTAGGTCGATGGTGAAACATCGCGCTAGATATTTAGCTGGCGTGGAGAGATTCCACGCTACTAGATGAATGCTAGACAAATCTTCCACGCGTTCCGTTTTTGGATCGTGGAGTGAGTAGGATTGCTACCGCAACCTACTCTATCACACTTTACAGTCTCCCGCGGGAGTTCAGATCTACGATCCTTTGATTGTGGATCTCTCTCGTTGATTAGTTTTCATAGCTTTCTAATCCTCTCATAACTTTCATTCTCTCAAACTCAAAACACTCGAAAGATCTTTACACTAGCTTTTAGCGTAGTGCAGAGAGGCTAACACATGGGACCCAGAGGCATTGGACTCAGTCAACGTAGAGAAGAGGAGACTGGGGGAATCCTTCAGTCCTTTCTT